TTTTGTTAAGTTGCTTTGCATTTTGCATGCATTGTCCTTTGCATGTTGCTGCATGCTTGCCTTGCATGTTGTTACATACTTGGCCTATTGCATGTTGTTGCGTGCTTAAGTTGTATTGTATTTGGCATGCCCTCCCCTTTTTGTTAAGTTGCTTTGCATTTTGCATGCATTGTCCTTTGCATGTTGCTGCATGCTTGCCTTGCATGTTGTTACATACTTGGCCTATTGCATGTTGTTGCGTGCTTAAGTTGTATTGTATTTGGCATGCCCTCCCCTTTTTGTTAAGTTGCTTTGCATTTTGCATGCATTGTCCTTTGCATGTTGCTGCATGCTTGCCTTGCATGTTGTTACATACTTGGCCTATTGCATGTTGTTGCGTGCTTAAGTTGTATTGTATTTGGCATGCCCTCCCCTTTTTGTTAAGTTGCTTTGCATTTTGCATGCATTGTCCTTTGCATGTTGCTGCATGCTTGCCTTGCATGTTGTTACATACTTGGCCTATTGCATGTTGTTGCGTGCTTAAGTTGTATTGTATTTGGCATGCCCTCCCCTTTTTGTTAAGTTGCTTTGCATTTTACATGCATTGTCCCATGCATGTTGTTGCATGCTTGCCTCGTATGCTGTTACATGCTTGCCTATCTTTAAATGTTGTCACATGCCTTGCATATTTGCATGCTTGTTTAGGTTGTATTGCATTTGGCATGCTTGTTACCTTTAACCTTGTATGGCACGATCATTAACATGCTCATGTTGCACTAGTGTTGCTTGCATGTTTACATCCCTTACCTCTTGATAAACCAGGATAGAGGTTGGGGTCCTCTATATGTTTTGTGTGCAATTCATTTGACATTAAAATGCACACTTGGCTTCTTTGGCCACAATGCATTGAAATGCGTGATTGGTGGCCTGAGGGTCGAGAACCATACTCCCTTGAGCTTTAAACATGATAAGGAGGGTGGTTGTGCAAACATTTCCTTGAAAATGCGTTGCCATGCTCTGTCTGTCCCCCTTTCCATCTGCTTTTGGCAGATATTTTATGCCAGCCAGCTGGCATACATTTGCACCTTGTGTTGGCTTCTCCAAGAAGCCTTAGAATTGGATTCCTATAAGAAGGGAGCTCCTCCTCCCTTCTCAGGGGTTTCTGAAATCTGATATACAAGATATATATCTCTCTCTCTCTCTATATTTCCTCTCTCTCTCTAGGACGACTCTCTCTCCTCTCTCTTTATATATCTGTGCGTATGTATTAGATTTTGAACATGTAGGATAAAAATTGAATAGATAGGAAAATAAAACTTAATGAATCTAAACCAATAGAAAAAAATAATGATGAATTTCAATAGATAAATACAATTTGAATGGATGAGTTTCAAAAATTGAACAGATAGGTTAAAATAAAAATTTCAACACATAAGTATTAATGTTTTTTTGACCAACAAATTTCTAACAAATGTTCTTATGTCGTCAATAAAACCAACATTGTCCTTGATGACTTATAGGCATAGGAATATGAATTTATCACAATTTTTTTCAAAAAAAAAAATAAATTACAAACACACCCCCTGAGATTTACTTGAATTACAAATTACCCTCTGTGATTCTAGAAATTACATTATGCCCCTTAAGGTTTCTAATTAAATAACAAATAGGTCATTTTATTAATAAATCATCAAGTTAACAGTTTTTAATAATGTTAAAATTTTATTTCAATTAATAATTCAAATAATTTTATTATTGTGTAGGCGAACAGTTAGGAATTTCACTTTTTAAATTAATTTTGTTAAATAAAAATTTTTGATAGGGAGGTATTTGTAATTTTCTAAGCCACAGGAGACAATTCGTATTTTAAACAAATCTCAATGGGTGTATTTGTAATTTACCCAAAAAAATTGCATTACAATTAAAATATACTAAATTCTAAAATTGTAGAATAATATACCTGATTATAATAATCCAAATAGCCCCCCAAAAAACACAAAATCAAACAGGTTGAATAATTCTTTGTTGTAGCCTTGCAAATCACCCACCACACCTAACCATTACAATCAATAAATTTTTATTTAAATTTCATTACAATTAAAATATTTCAATCTTTCTGTGTCTCCATATTGATGGGAGTTTTTTTTTTTTTTTTTTTTTTTTTTTATTTTTTTTATTTTATTTTTGCTTTTTTAGTGATATCATGAATAGGCTTACATGTATGACCTTTATTTTTTCTTAAAAATATAAGTATTGGGTCTTTTTCTTTTCTTTTCTTTTTGGGCCTTCCTTATTGAGCCTTCTTTTTGTAAAGGGTAAATTACAAATACACCTTTTGAAGTTTGCTTAAAGTATAGATTATCTTTTGTGATTTGAAAAATTACAAATACCTCCTTATTAGTATTTTTTTATTTAACAGAATTAATTAAAAAAATGTAATTCATAATTATTCTCCTAGACAATAATAAAATTACCTAAATTATTCATTGAAATATATTTCTAACATCATTAAAAATTGTTAATTGATTTGATAATTTATTAATAAAAGGGGCAATTTTTTGTGAAATTAGAAACCTCAGGGGTGAAATGTAATTTTCAAAATCATAA